TGATAAATAAAAAGGTAAGAAAAGGGAAAGAGGGAAGGGGGTTGATGGGGATGCAGTGGGGGGCCTAAATAGAGATCCAACACAAGTTGAGTCCAAGTTGTGTATGTTTGACCTTTTGTTTTCTTGGAGTTGTTTATAATATAGTTTCCAGCATCGTTTGTTGCATAGGATGGGTAGCAGTGGTAGTCAGTAATGTGTTACTTTTTTCTTTTCCCTCACGCGGGTATTTTTATCTCATCCAGTTAAAGACTAATCTCGTTCACTTAGGATATTATAATTGTATCTGTTCAAGGAGAACACTAGTAATTTTCTCGTACTTTAAGGACCGAACGAGAGTTTCAATCGAATATTTTGGTGAGGGGAAAGATACCTGCAAAAGAAACTCCGACGCTCAAGTTAGGACAAACACGAATATCGATAATAATTAATGAACAGTGACATTATCTCGAGATGTGAATTATTTATAATGATATTAATGGGCCTTGCCCTCCATGGCCCTGTGATAAGGTTACCTGATTAGGTAATATGCCCTTAATTGGCTTATACGCACGATTAACCCCTAATCATTGTTTAGGGATGGCTACAGGTCTCCTGGATTACTTCGCCCTCAAGGTCCTTCGGCTATTAGAGATGCCGATTGGGTGTCGGCGATCAGGTGCAACATGATAGGTCGATTGGATAGGATCGTTCTTAGCTTCCATTCGGGCTGACTGGATGTAAGTGGCCGATGTGCGTTCATGAGGACGACCTAGGGATGACCAGTTTGATTACTTCCTATGCTGACGTATCGAAGGGTATGGCCGAATGGTACTACCCGTACAGTAATGATTGTTAACTTAAAGGTTTTTCTTTGACGAAATTTAAAGGTTTTTTAACGAAAAAACTTAGGATATTATTTTTATGTAATACTGACATGATTACTAATATGAAGGTTTTTGCACATAATGAAGATTGATCACAAGATTCTCTATTAAATAAATTATCTCTAAGCAAAGGGTAAGTCAAGGACTAATTCACTTGTAATAATGCGATAATCGCTAATATAAAGATTTTCTTACATCATAGAATTTTCAATAAGAGACTAATTCTATTCGTAATAATTAATATAATAACTACTAACTTAAAGGTTTTTGCATATGGAGATCTAATACGAAATTATCTACTAAATAGATTGTCTTTAAGTATAAAATGTCTAATTACAACGTCAATCTATATAATTTTTTTAATCTCTCCTTCTATGTTCCCTTGTTTGTCTCGTGTGTTGAACTAAGTTGGAGAATATTACCTCTCCGTAAAAGACGGAGGAGTGTGTTTGGCGGGCCTTGGACGTCACAACACCAAAATGTCTCCTTTCCTTTTCTTGAAATCTGCATTCTCTCTTCCAAAACCATGCAAATGCAGTGCATGCCACCAAAGTTACCTTATCTAATTTCCCCCATAAATATATGAATGTAAACTTCTTAACTAATAGAATAATTTAAAATTAAGATAAGTAAAAATTAAAATAATCTGTCTGTTTTGACTTTTTAAGATCTTCTTTCGTTTACTTTTGTAGACACGCCTAGATGTTCTTTTGTTTACTTTGACGGGTAAAAAGTTTTTACAAAAGATGGAAATTAGTTTAGCTTAACTTATATGACTTTAATTGAAAAGTAGCAACACGTTTTAGTAATGAGAAAATTTCCACTCTTCTGAATAAATAAAAAAGAAAGAAACGTCAAATTTAATCATTTATGTATAAAAATATATACATGAAAATAAATAAAACGTGATTATTGTTTATTGAGATATTGTAAATGATACCTAATAATAATATAAAACAAACAAAACGAACAATGGAAGTAAAAGAGAAATATTAAAGCTTTAAAAATATTGAAGTACATGCAGATAATTATATTTAGTTGTTAATTTATATCTTTATACTTACATATGTATATAGACATTTCCTGTAAGTTAGAAACGGTATTTAATTATTTTATAAAATAATGAAAAACATACGTTAATATGTTTGAACAAATTTTATTTTATTTTTATAATTAAATAATGAAGTTTGAACTTAAGATCTAGGTAAACTAGCTAAATTCTCGATCACTAGTTTTTTTAATTAAATGAAATAATTATAGTAATAAAAATCAAAAGACCATACTAATTTAATTTTCTATTAAAGAAGTTATTATTTATTATTTTATTTCCTTATTGAAATAGAATGGTCTATGTATCTTAAATCATCAAACTAATATATCTATCTAAAGCCATCAAACTAATTTAGTATTTTGAATTAATGGTGTATATATCATTTTTCTTGTTGAAGGAATGTCTATATATCTTAAATCATAAAACTAATCAAAAAAAATCATACAATTTAATAGATTATGTCAATAAATTTAAATAAATTTTGAAAAAAAAGACAAAAGAATTGTTTTAAATAAATTATATTTTTTTAATAAAAACTATTGAGATTAACTAAAAAGATAACATTCACTTTAGTAATTTCTTTATTTTAAAAGAGATTGGAAATAATTCATGGGCATCCAATACTACAATGTAGGTACAATGAGTGATATAACATGAATAAAACTGAAAAATAGAAAGAACTAATAGGTACTATAGAGTATTATATATATATATATAT